GGATAAGTGTGTAGTACTTGAGGATCCCATGAAATGTGTGGATAAAAGTGACTTGTTTATGAACATGTGCCAAACATAAGCTAAGCACTTTTTTCTGGAATCTACTCTCCTTCAGAAAAGCAATCTCTGTTGTTTCACTTGGGTTGAAAGGAACTTGACTGGCAACCTATGCTACAAAATATTATCCCACTTAGTTTGTCTCCCATGTTAATGAAATGTGGAATGCAATCTCAAATATTTCACCTAGGTTGAAAATAACGGGACTCCAGCAGGCTATGCTACAAGTAGTGTCCCACTGAGTTTGTCCCTTTATTTTGGGATGTCCCACAATAAATGTCACTGTTTCAGAAAGTAGACTAATCCATTTTTTGGATATGAACCTTTTGTAATTATAACCACAAAACTAAGATGGGAAAAACTGTCTTATTAATTGACTCTTCTATGTGCTATTGCTCTCTTTCACCTATGCCTCCCACCAATGTGTTGCCTGCAGTATATGGTCGTAGAAAATAAAATGAACACCTGTGGGGAAAGCATTTGAAAGTCTAGTTGGCGAATTGAGAAGGGAAGTTATAACAGTAGACGGAGATTCCCTCCAAGATGGTGAACGTTGGATGAGAGAAGGCTGTTGTGTCACTCCTGTAGGGCACCTAAACACAATGGCAGCCAGATATATCCATACTTTTTTTTTTTTTAAGTTTGGGGAATGGGGGCACATGGGGAATGTTTAGTTGATTGGCCCCGAGATACTGCATGAATCTGAATTAATGTACAAGGAAAAAGCTTGATTCTGTATATCAATAGTTAAATCCTTCAAAAAGTTATTGAGTTTGCTCTCTGCATAAGATCCAGATTCAGATAAAAAGGTGATTTGAGGAATCAAAACAAATTGTAATTTTAGATTTATTATCATATAATTGATGTCCACTAATATCTATTGGATATAATTCTTAAACTTCTACGTGGCTTAGCAAAATTTTAAATGACCTCGAATATTTGATGTAGAATGCGCCTCGGAGGAAAAGCCACTTTTGGCACGACCAATTAATAGTGTGCGTGTATGTAGATGTGTAAATTTCTTCCTCATAAATGCTCATTCTAAATTAATGGTTCATTTTCTAATATCCTCATTCTTTGCTTGTATGCATGATTCCATTTCAGTGACCACAGGCTTTTGATTGAGTATATACCATCGTTATTTGTTTTTATATATCTTCTATTGGCAGGAGGCCCTCCACCATGGAGGAAATTCTTACAATTGAGATTAAGGCCGGGTGGAAGAAGGGAACAAAAATAACTTTTCCGGAGAAGGGAAATGAAATGCGAGGTTATATACCTTCAGACCTAGTTTTCATCATCGATGAGAAGCCTCACGGCATTTTCAAGAGGGATGGGAATGATCTAATTGTCACCCAGAAAATCTCTCTGGTCGAAGCTCTGACAGGATACACAGCACAAGTGACAACACTTGATGGAAGGAATCTAACAATACCTATCAATTCCATCGTTAGTCCCACCTATGAAGAAGTCGTCAAAGGGGAAGGGATGCCCATCCCAAAGGAGCCCGGCAAAAAGGGTAACTTACGAATCAAGTTCAACATTAAGTTCCCTACCAGGCTTACTTCAGAGCAGAAAACGGGCATTAAGCGATTGTTGACATCTTCATGAAGACTACTCTCTTGCAATACTCANCCTACCAGGCTTACTTCAGAGCAGAAAACGGGCATTAAGCGATTGTTGACATCTTCATGAAGACTACTCTCTTGCAATACTCAAGTAAGCTTGGATTTGTTTTCTGTCGTTTGTCTTTGTTATGGGATAGAAATTGCATGGGGGATGATCCAGGTTCTTGGCATTATTTTAAATGTTTATTTATTTTATACATCTCTCTCTCTCTCTCGAAAACGCTGATAATCCTTTTCTCATCGTGCTTGCTTGTGTCAAAATTTTATTGCTCGACAATCATGAGGCGATTGACACCTCGCATTCTACCGAATTTATTCTTGCGTTACTGATGAAAAGAGGGATTTCTTGGTTTATTACAGAGGTAAAAATCATAGTGATTTTGTGAAATAGTTGTCATGTAATAGTGAAATGGACAATATCAATAAATGCTCTCACTTTCACCTTGGATGTGTTAGTTTCACTGAAGAGATGTAAACGGTGTGACTTGTGAGAGGGATTAATATTGTAAGTATATTGGATTTGGGGGATTTTATTGTGACAAAAATTGTATGAGTGGCCCAATTGAAATTTTCATGAAAGTTTGTTGACTTCCATTCCAACCCAATAAAGTAAGTTCACCAAAAGAAGTTGGGGTAATTTCCTCCCAAGTCCCCAACATTTCACAAATGTGACAGTCATGTCTCTAACCTTTAATTGTGGCACACATATCCTAAACCCTTTAACATTATATGTGCAATGTCTCCCCCTATGTGTAGTCATTAAATGCCATCACATGATGTTTTAAATAAAGGGTAAAATTATCTAATACCAGATAACGACGTTTACTGTAATTTGAACAATCACCATATGGTTTTCTAAATAAAAGAATTGGTGGCTATACCGACCCGTATTTTTTTATTGCACTACATTTTAATGAAATTGAAAATATTTCATCTTTATTTATTATTGCACTTATATTTTCAATTTTTTCATTGCATTCTTAACCTCAACTTTACAATAATTAATATATTTCGTCATTGATGACGAGTTCTATTTATAGCGTGTTTTGAAATGAGGGACAAATAAAATATAAAACTTTTATATATATATTTTTTTTGTTTTTTGCTTATTTAGCTCTTATTTGAGTCCCATTTTGGAGGAAAAAATATATTTTGGAATAATTTTTTGGAAGAATGTATGGTTAAAAAAATTATTTACATATAAAATTATTTTATTAAAGAATGTGATTGAAAATGAATTTCGAGAATAAAAAAAATGGAATTTTTAATAACATGGAACTCAAACAAGAGCTTAGTAATATAATGGACAAATCGATCTTTTTATATTGGTCTAACGTATTTTTTTTTTTTTTAAGAATAGTGTGATAAGTAAAAATTACAATATTAATATAATCACAACAAAATAAATATTTTTTAAAATAATTGAACCATTTTAATCCGACATCAACGTCGCGATCAAGTGGTATATCGCACGTGTGTGGACATGACCACCACTTATGTAAGATTGGGGACCCCTAGAGAAATTTACCCAACAAGTCCTTTTCAGAAAAGTTTTCCGAGTAGGTTTCAATTCCTCTTCTAAGGGTCCAAACGACGACGTTTAGTCGTATCTGTTTCCTAATCTCGAGTTAACATGCACGCTCATTTACATCGTCTTCCTCCCGGCAATTCCAATTCATACGATTCTCTGAATCTCCGTATGTAAATTGTTAATAATTACTCAATAAATAGTAGATCTCATAATTTTGTATACATAAATGGCTTCAATCTCTTCAAATCCTCGAACGGTAGAGGAGATCTTCAAAGATTACAGCGCTCGTCGTGCCGGGATCGTTCGTGCTTTAACTGACGGTACCCCCTTATATTCAATAGATTTTTCAGACGAAAATCTTTATTGAATATATATATTTACACACGCTCACAAAAAAGTGTTCATACATGCAATTTAGTTTATTTTAATATATGTATGTCTTAGTGTCGAATGGTGTTTTTTTTACAGATGTAGATGAATTTTATGGGCTCTGTGATCCAGGTAATTTTTATTAAGTTTTGTGAAATATAGATTGAAGTAATTGTTCGTTACATCAAAATTTTGAGTTTCTGACTTGGACTAATTGGGTAATAGATATTGAAAACTAGTAATTTCATCACTGGAAACTTGGTAATTTCATGTTTATATTATTTATTTATTATTATTATTATTTTTAAATAATGATTGGATTGTTTAGAGTTCAATTTAGGTGCTTTTTGGTTACCGAGAAATGTGAAATAATACAGTTCGTAGTCTTTACCTTTGCTTATTGAAATCGATTTGTTGTTCTGGAGTTTATTTTAGGTCAAAACTATTATAAAAAAAGGTACAATTTTTTAATTATCATTTTAATTCTTGAATGCAGGTAATTTCGTTTTCTGTTTCTTTCCTTCAACTTTACGCATCAAAGTAAATTTTATGATGCTAATTTCTTTGGAAATGAAATCTAGATGCTGATTTAAGTTTTGGGCTACTGCAATAGTTTTCTTTTGGTTCTCATATACAATAAAGATAAAGCATCCTAGATAGCTTTAGTTAGCGACTTAGCATACATCCCCTCTGTAAGTTCAGTCTTTTTGTGATCTGTAAATGTCAATTTCCTCTTCCTTTTTTTATTTTGGGATTTACTGCTTTTATAGAGAAGGAGAATTTGTGTCTATATGGACATTCGAATGAAACTTGGGAAGTCAATCTACCAGCAGAGGAAGTTCCGCCTGAGCTTCCTGAGCCAGCACTTGGGATCAATTTTGCAAGGGATGGCATGAATCGTAGAGATTGGCTTTCACTCATTGCTGTGCACAGTGACTGCTGGCTGCTCTCTGTGGCTTTCTATCTTGGTGCTCGGCTTAACCGAAATGAGAGGTACTTCTAATTTTATGATATTTATTTGGCGTATCCGTGTCTGTTGATCTGTGGATGATGATTTAGCTAATCTTTATCATGCATTTTTAACTTATTGAGAATTTTTGTTTTAGTTGTTCTATACTGAGTAGGATAGATGTTGGTTGATTAGGTGCAAGTGCAACAACTATTGAAACCAACAATGAAACAAAAAGGAATAGTTAATCTTTATAAATGCATTTTTAACTTATTGAGAATTTTTGTTTTAGTTGTTCTATACTGAGTAGGATAGATGTTGGTTGATTAGGTGCAAGTGCAACAACTATTGAAACCAACAATGAAACAAAAAGGAATAGTTAATCTTTATAAATGCATTTTTAACTTATTGAGAATTTTTGTTTTAGTTGTTCTATACTGAGTAGGATAGATGTTGGTTGATTAGGTGCAAGTGCAACAACTATTGAAACCAACAATGAAACAAAAAGGAATAGTTAATCTTTATAAATGCATTTTTAACTTATTGAGAATTTTTGTTTTAGTTGTTCTATACTGAGTAGGATAGATGTTGGTTGATTAGGTGCAAGTGCAACAACTATTGAAACCAACAATGAAACAAAAAGGAATAGTTAATCTTTATAAATGCATTTTTAACTTATTGAGAATTTTTGTTTTAGTTGTTCTATACTGAGTAGGATAGATGTTGGTTGATTAGGTGCAAGTGCAACAACTATTGAAACCAACAATGAAACAAAAAGGAACCATTCATATGGGTTTGCTTAGGTCAAGAAAATAAACTTTATCCTAATTACTGACCGAACTTGAGAATGTATAAGGATCCTATTTTTTCAAAAGTTTTACACCTCTGATTTACGTAAACACCAAAATTCATATTACATTGAAAGTCATGTAATATACATTAATTGGTGGGTTAATGATTATTGGAGCTTTATCTACATAATGAGGGGCAGTATATTCAACCTGATCTGCATACGGCTACATTTGCTTCAACCATCCTCTATTTTGCTGTCTCTAGTTGCTCAGGCTCTCAAGTCTCGTCAATTAAAGTTTTGCTATCCTAAGGTGAAGACAATCAATACCTGTACCAAGTAATCGCTGGCTCATGCTTCTCTCATTTATTCTGGTGGAAATTTTGTGGATGAAATTTAACTTCCTGCTAAAAAGTTTTACATATTTTCAACTTTACATTTGTTGCCCCACTTGTTCTGATCATGTTTCCTGGATGTCTGGACTTTATCATAGGTGAAAACTGAGTAAATGAAAGCTGTAAATGTGCAACATCTTCGGTATTATACGGCTTTGACTGATTGAGTTTTTTTATTTGAGATCTTATGTACTCCTTTTGTGAACAAGTCAAAGGTAGACGCACCACTTTTATCTGGAAAGGTTCACGCTAGTCTGCATTCTTAATAACGATATGAATCTTGAAAGTAGTAATCTTGCCTAGAATTCTCCTTTGGAGATTTCCTATCCCTTTACTGGAAACCAAAGCTTCTGATTTAGCTTATGTTTGTCTTCCATTAAAAAGAGTCTTTTGGAGAGCGTAGTTAAAAAGTAGGAAAAAGTTTTGGTTTTACTTGCAAAATATTTTATTGTTGAATGTGTGGTTGAAAATGAGTTTGAGAAAAAAAGAGTTTTGATTTAATGGAAGACAAACAGGAGCAAGTTTGTGGCAGAATATATTGTTGCCAGTCTAACTTTGATCATTACGACAAGCATCAAAAGTGATCTGGTTCTTGACATCTAACATTTTTCTTTCTGTCAAACGAATTTGCTGTTGAATAGAATATATATGATGTGAATCTATCTTGACTGCTTGAAGAATTAGAACACTGGGATAAGATTGCCTTTCACCAATTCGCTGAGGCACATATAGTTCATTAATTGCACCAGAAATTATCGGTAGTTGCTGGTTTAGTTCCAGTGAAGAGATTAAGCATCATTACTGAGCGGGCATGCATCTTTACTGAGGCATGTACAAGGTTTGAATTATGACCACTTGATGCCAGATATTGGGGCATGGAGGTGGATTTTGATTGGATTTAGATATCCTGATTGGTGAATTACTGTCTAGTATAGTTAAAATTTTGTGACAGATTTATTTCCTCTCTTTTGCCGGTGGGTGGCCCAAACTTGTTTGGATATATTGGTGCATTTAATTAGTGCATTTTATTTTGGTTGGTGGTGTTTGTCACGGTGTACCAATGTCTTATACTGTACTTACAGGAAGCGACTGTTCAGCTTGGTGAATGATCTGCCTACAGTCTTTGAAGTCGTGACTGAAAGGAAGCCAGCAAGAGAGAAGCCCAATGCAGAAAGCGGAAATAAATCCCGTGGCAGTACAAAGGTAGGATAGACACAAAGTATAAGCAGTGTTACTATTATATAAATTCTTTCTTGGATTTTCCTCTCCTTACTTCCTGATATGAAAGCTAAAGTTGCATTAAAACATTTAGGATGTGTAGACAACAGCAGATATTGAACCAGGGCAACATATTACTGGAGAATTGAGTTCTGAACACACACAGAGACACCCCTTTCTCCCCACCTCAAATCTTCTTTGAACTAGCTACTAACTCTAGTTACTCATTGCATTTCTCCTTTATTTATACCCTTGATTGCCCTTGTATCTTGCTTTTTTCTGAGCTTTATGTTTGTGTCCTTATCTGCAGAGATATAGTGATGGTCAAGCTAAAAGCAATCCAAAACTGGCAGATGAGAGTTACGAGGAAGATGAAGATGAGCACAGTGAAACGCTATGTGGTAGCTGTGGAGGAAATTACAGTGCAGATGAGTTCTGGATTGGCTGTGACATCTGTGAAAGGTGGTACCATGGGAAGTGCGTGAAGATAACTCCTGCAAAGGCTGAAAACATAAAGCAATACAAATGCCCGTCTTGCATGAAGCGAGGCAGACAGTAGTGGTAACTAAATCGATTTGGTGGCCGATTAAGTAGAATACGATGTCACATTTCTAATGTTTGTAGTGGATCTCTCTCTCCTGTTTGTTTGTTCATAACAGATGATTGCAAAGGGAATGATGTCTGGTTTCGTCTCGAATATTATGGCTAATCTATTTTTCCTTTTTACATGGAGACTTTCTATTATGTTACATTCTAAAAGGATGTGTAATCCACAAAATTTAAGACCATTTTTTTCTTTTCACGCGTCTTCTATTTATCAATTGTTTATGAGTATTAAATAGGACCTGTATTAGATTTCTCACTGCCAAATA